TATAAATTCAGTCACAAAAGAATTGCCAACTATTATTAGATCTGTGAGTAGAGTAGATATTCCTCTGTTTCCACCATTTTAGTCTCTAAGCAGCTTGCTTTATTAACTGTGTTTCGACATCTTAGTCTTCCGGAGTAACAGCTCATGGAGTATCACGTGCGTTTAATGATAAAATGATGTCCGAAATGCTATTCATGTGTATAAGCGGTTGGCACCTACCATAAGGTTGGAAATCATCTTGATTACTAATCAAGTTACATAGAAAATCTTAAAACAATGTTACCTATGACTGATACCACTTTCCGTCAGACGGGCTGAAAACTTATACGCCAGTCCACTTGTTTAAAAAAATGTTACAGGCGAGCAGCCCTGAATATAAGAGTATTAAGCAACATAAGCTTCTTATCGACTGATAACGAGAGCAACGTATGCTAATTGACTTTTGTATCTATTACTGAAATAAATTATTTTGTTTGTTACGAGTTTTGATGAATAATACTTGAGTATATCAAGTATTATTCATCAAAACTCGTCTGTAAGAGGCCCAATTAGCGATAATACCGCCTCATTACATATCTTTCTTTTCTGTATTTTTTACTATTTTAATATACGTATGTATTAGAACTCATGTTATAATTTTATATGCTCACAATAAATACTAGTATTTTAAATTATAACTACATACAGAAATTTAAGTAAGAACGCTCCCAGATTATAGCGAAACTTGCGCGAAAAATGTTATCATTACAGTCACACATATAGTTTTAAAAAACTATTAATATTTACATTAATAGTTCTTTAAGAACAAATGTACATTTAATAATTAACATGATTAGATTCTACTAGATCGCCATCGGACTTCGAATGAATCGTTAACAACCTTGTAACAATAAGTATGGTCTAACATTAAAGCAGTTACTTTAAAAAATTAAATTAAATTAAAAAATTAATTAGATGACATATTAGTATTGATTTTTCTTATGAGTAAATCGTATCCGACGTTGACAAAATGGTGGTGTAGAGATTTCAAGTCAGTAAGTACGAATCCTAAGTAACGAATGGAAAGTATCCTAAGTACGAATAGGATAGACACCAAACCCTTTGTTAGCATTTAAATACACAGCTAAATGGGCAATTGGGCGTGTCAAGTGGTGCATTTACAATATCGGCACTTGATAATATGCCATCTGACTACCCCAACTGGGATAAGAGTCGAGACGGTACGTTGTTGTTATTAAAATTATTATTAATAATGATCACTCTATGAACGTGGTTAATGTTCGTTTCTCTCGTGTCTCTCAAATTTCTTATTTGAATGTTAAATTTCAATTAAAACAATTTTCTGCCATCATATTATTATATAACATACAGTATCCATCTATCATATTCAAACAACTCTCAACCTGGTTATAGAAAAGTTTCCTTTTACAAAGGAAATTAATTCCACATATGAGATCAAAATGGCATAACTTTGTTGTATTATACTAGTTGTTTCCTGCTGCATTGTTCGCGCGAAATTAGTTTCGTCGTTACAACAATAGAAAACTCTTTTCGAGCATTCATACTAATATGAATAACTAACTGCTTATCTGTTTGTTACATTTTTACGAATAAGTTGCTAAAAAGATCTTAAAGAAATTGGACGCGTATATTCTATGATTCTACAAGGGAGACGGACAAAAGCTATCATTTTTATAAAAAAATCAAACGAAGTCGCAGCTATCAGCTAGTTTTATATATGTTAATATTTGAATATATATTACCCAAGTGTAAGAATTCAAATAATAGAGTTCTAAATTTTATTTATGTAAGTTAATTGCAGTTTGCTTTCATTACAGTGCAAGTAATAACTTGATATTTTATTTACTAATAGTATAATAATAATAACAATTTCAGGACAATTCACAGAGCACCATCTAGACCCCAAGTTAAGCTAGCTAAGTTTGTGTTATAGTATACACTAGATAACTGACACAAATATATATTTTTTTCTTCGTAAATACAAAAGTATTAGACATAGAAAATACCCAGAGAGGAATCGAACCCACGACCATCAGAAGTAAGGCGGTGTGCTACACCACTAGACTACCGAAGTCGTCATAAAATACGCCATAATATGGCAGGGGTTAAAATACGAACAAACAAACAAATATTTATTTTTATATATTAATTTTAATAAGAAATTTTAATAAGGATTCGTACAACATAAAGTCATTACGCTTCAAATATCATACACTCATTGAGTTTGTCTGGTACGTGTTTTATATTAATGTAGCTTATATAAAATCCCCGACGCTTTAGAGTTTCTTAACATTAGAGATAATGAATAAATAATGTGACATGGGTGCTGGAGTGGATCCGTATCGTAGCTATTGATCTGGAACTTTGTAATTTCTTTGACAAAGATCAATGCATATTATGCGAGAGTAGGTAACTACCTACTCTTGTATAAAGATATATAAAAAGGCTAAAGATGAACACTATAATGTGACAATGTACGTCTTTTTTTCTAATTTTACATATATTAAAATATTAAAGACACGCGCACGACTCATCCGTTGCGTTCGAGGTCTGTTCGTATAATGCCTTTTTTTTGTCCGAACCACTGTTCATAAGCCGCCATCTTGTGCCCCGCTGCTGTCCAAAAACTGGAAGTGAGAACATAAAGAATAAAGATTTTAATATTATGTCAAAACAATTCGTTCATCTACAGACAGGTTACATCTTCATCATATATTTCACCTGTCACTCTTAAACTTACTTTTGTTTATCTATCTACCTACCCTTTTATCTACTTGGAAAAAAAGGTGGCGGTTGTCAATACGTCTGTATTTTTATATATGTTGTCTAGTACTTATTCCTAAGTAAATCGATTGTTAATTCTTCTTTTTTTAATATTTTTATGGTGCTTCTGACAAACAGTTTTTTAATAATACGATTGTTGTCTGTATTTTTCATGTCCTAAATACGCGTATAATTATTTAATTATTATTTTTTGGTAATGACTATTACAATATATTAATGTAAGTTCTATTAATATATTACTTTATATGTATCCGCGTATCCAACGATGCGAAAATAGTTGTACTCAAAACAAGGGAAACCGCTCACAGCTATCGTTCGGGTGTCGATCATTAACGTTGAGTGCGGTCATTCCTGTAGACCGATTCTGTAAGCATCACTTACGAATTCGAAAACGGAATCCGGAATTGGTATACTGTAAAACTCGATAGCGACAGCAGTGCCACACGCTCGAGAGCGAAATGGAGGTATAATAAGCACTAGTGATTTTCTTTTAGAAATATACATATAACTCAATAGCTTAATAAACTTTATATTTGCAATTGGATACGAGTGCCTTGAGTGAAGCGATGAGTGAAATGAGTTGATAAAACGCTAACGGAATATCATTCCTGAACTGACTGCCTGTATACAGAATGGAATTCTAACTTAACTATTAACACATCGGTACCGGTTGCTGTCATTAAGTAACAGTTCAGTAAACAGCGCAGATGATAAATTAACTATAACTATGCTACAAATTATTACCATTATTATTTAGTTATGTAATTACCCTGTCCTTTTATTTTATGCTGCCTTTTTAATGTAAAGAATGTGACAAAACATTAATATTAAAAATTTGTCAATCTAGATGAATGACTTAATAGTTTTTATAACTAAGATTTTATTATTTAACAACGATATCATTCTATGATTTAGTGATATTTTTTTTTATGTAACTTGAATTTAAAAGAAGCTGTTGATACGTCGGATAGAAAATACCCTATGACATAGATCATGGTAACACTCATGTATTACCATTTCGGAGTACTAAAATGGCATACTCTTTTCCTATAATTTCTCTACCTAATCGCATCCTACAACCGAAACACATTATGTGGTGGCAAAGTGCATGTATGTAATAAAAATTACTTACGTCGATTATATCCAGTTGTTAGATCTCAGTTAAAATATGTTTAGTTTATTGTAATAATTAAATAAATAATATAAATTACAAGGCATCTGTGTTACACATCATAAATACATATATCACACACATTTTACAGCAAACGAATTGGCAAAAGAAATAGGCGAAGAAGAGGTACCCATGTAGTTGACTTACATACATGTAGGAATCAACCTCGTCGGAACAACAAACAAACATTAAGTAACATTCATTTTTGGACTATATGTTTTATTTTCCATTACTAGTTACAGCACAAAATATCTATAATATATAAATCATGTATCGGGCTATATCTATTACTAATGTATATTACTACTAATCTATATAAAATAATAGATACTTCAAGTAACATTCCAATGGTAGTTTCAATTTGTTTCTAGCGACAAAATAGTTATAAAGCTTCTTTGTAAGCTTACGCAAGTATAAAATCGAAATACCACAAATATGCCTCCAAATACCTTATAGTATTACAGCCTTTACAGCTGAGATACATTCAGTTTAAATTCTAAATATCATATTACTCTGATCTGTCATAAGAGAACTGACAACGAAGACAATGGCAGAATTTAATTAAAAAGCCGGATATTCCAATTTTCTCAATGGTATAATGCCACTCAAAAGGCTTCATTGTTAATATTGGATGTTTGAATTGTAATTACATTTGGTACATAAGTTTAGACAACCTTTTTCATTAATATTATATTGTTTTCTACTGTATTTTATTCTGACTGCGTCTACAGTGTTCTTATATAAAATAGATAAGTGCAGCAAGCGACGATGGAATTAGAATAGATATGCAAGAGACGTGATAAAAATGTTAGTGCTAATTCTCGTACATGTGTATGTGAATAAAATGAATACTGTTTTCAACCAAGTTCAAAAATGTGTAGATTCTCAATTCAACTATATATAATAGATATATTATCTATTATTTTAAATTTTAAATGATTCTTAAGAGATTTTTTTTATATGCTTTTTATTTGACGTTTTATTTGCCGGAAAACAAGATCTTAATACTTTTTTCCTGTTACAGAATCCTGGTCCGAGCTATCAGCTATACGGTACATGGCCTGATACCAGCTTCGTGTGTATTCGCCGACCGATACAATCGTGAGGAAGTCGTTAGATCACTAGGCAAAGAGGTGAACATCAACCCGCCATTAATGTTGGGCCAGCTACCTGATACACCTGAAGAACTGCTAAAACTTGACCAGGTACGTAATACTTGTTTATATTATTGTTCAAACATATTTCTTCATATTAAAATTAGGAGTAAATAGTAAAAGAAAAGCAAGACAAGATTTACGGATAAAAGGACCATATTTTTTAATATAAAAAGTAATAGACAAGAGGTAAATAAACGTAGCTCATATAAAAAAGATCCGTCGTGCACAGAATCTGAATTAAAACTAGGTACATTCGTGTTACTCAAATAGCACTTTGCATCGCAAGCAAATTAGCAGTAAAAATCTTCTCCTTTTCACAGCGATTGTTTTTTGAGTTTCCAATTAGGAATATACGACACGCCGCTTACATTCTTGAAACATTAATGAGTTCTGTTAGTCGCTTCGCGGGGTACTCCGTTTGACTCCCACTGTGTGGGGAGGCTATACCTCTCCTTGTCTCTCATAGCCCCACTAATCACGGTAATGGACTAATGACAAGTTGGATACCGAACTACTCCCACACAAAACTTCGTTCTTCACAAAATCACAAAGTAATGAGAATGAATTATAACATTAGTTAATGGACACCGAGTCGTGATATTATTAACTTTTACCTCATCTTCCACTTCAGATGGATAACTTAGAAACAACACACGAAAATTATCTAACTTTGAGGTAAGATAATTTTCATTTCCAGTGAGTTTCACTTTGTAACAAGATGATATCTGTACCTACCTATCAAAACTTTTTAGCCACTTTATAAAATGTAAAAATTTTGAATAATGCGTCGTTTCTTTTACCAATCTATGTACTGTGCATTTTTTTTAATCATCTTGATAATATTATGCTTTCACGTAGAATTTGTAATATATGTAAATTACTGTAATATGTATAAAAATAAATAAAGAAATTGCACATTTAAACAGACTTAGTTTACACATAAGTATATATTGCAGTCTTCAAGGTGAATCAAGAGTCTATTCTCTCTTATACTGAGTTCAAGCAGGCGAAAGTGAAAAAATCATATGTGAACAAAACCAGTAAACAATTCCATTCGTGAAAAACCATTTTTAAAAATATTTTGCCGACTGTTCTATACTATATTAAAATGTATGTAAAAATAATTGTTAATGGGAAATGAACAAATCTAAAAACCGCTAATAGTTCACTGAATCGCACTTTAGCTCAGGCTGGAAAATGAATTTTTAATGCGCGCACTAAAACGTTTCAGAGTTCCCGACATACGTTTCACTCTTCCAGGCAAATTCGTGCGATCCAGTACGCTGTCAATTTTCATTAGCCACGGGTATATAGAAGCACGATATTAAGTCAGAACGTAGCAGTTCCCTTTACATTTGGGATTTACTGAAATGTCGGTTTACATGAATACAGTGAGCTTGCATCTAAAAATAAATACCTTTACTGTTGACTACAATTGTTTTCGAGATAATGTAAAAAACAAATTGTTTTATGAAATAAAGTCCGTCTGTATATAATTCGTTTTTAGAGTTTCATTAGTTGGTGGACTAAAATAAAGTCTTTTTATTTTCATCATGTCTATTTTTCTGAAGTCGTTTTATTATTCAACGCTATGCTAGTTGTGCAGCTTAAATCTTATATCGTTATGATAGACATCTCTACATACATTACCATATAGTAAACTCTAAGAAAACTGTATACATTTCAAAGGAAATCGTATACTGTTAAAAAGGTTTTCATTAATAAGGGTTTATTATACATTTGAAACACTTAACTTTGAAACTAACGAAGTGTAAAGGAAACAAGACGGTTAGAGGAAACTCTAACAAATAAACTGTATATTTCATTCAATCCATTTCGCTTCAAAGAACTCCAACACAGACACTTTCCCAGATTGAAAACCAAATATAACATTTTCCGGTACTTACTCGCAATAACATCATATGACAAGTAACATGCACAATAGTAATTCGTTGTGACTCGAATGATTTGACAAAAAAAAATGGACCACTATTTCGGCTTTAGTTTTGTTCAATATTATTTATGGATGAAAACCTGTCAGATTTCGTTAGTATTATAATTTATCCATTATTGAGTAAAAGAGTTTTATGTAGCATATTCTAAAATGTGATCTCTTTCTACTGACCTGCATAAATATATAAAAAAATGCCATAGAATATAGAAAGGCCTACTTTTTATTCGAATAAGTAATGATTTAATTTCTACTAGAGAGACTCGCCTCGGTTTTGCTGCAATTATAATATCAATCACTGTGATAATGGATAAAAATCGAAATAAAATCAGTTTTTGAGATTATCACAAAAACACAGACTAGGTGGCCGTTTTTAGTTCCTAGCACATATAGATTGTTGTTTGATATTAAAATTCTTTAATAAAAAATATTTAATAGTTAAATAAATTAATAATGAGTTTGTTATAACATAAGTAATTAAAAATTCACGTTTCGAGATACCGATTCTATAACGCCTACTGAGCATCCATACGCGGTGTCGTCTGCTGAGCACATACACAATTACGAATACCAACCGACACAGATACTTAGAAGACCCAATTATGAGAAAATATAGGAATTTCATTAATGATGGAAAATTAACTTAATTTATTTTTGTTAGTCGTTACGAATATTGATTGCAAACGGACCTTAAATAGAAAACTTATCTTATTAACTGACTCCTACTACTTATACTTAATTAAGCCCGCAAGTATTAAACACGACGGATTTTGATACTTGAACCTTGACTGTGGGTCCCTTTCAGCATTATGAAGGGAGAACACGATCCCACTCCGAAATCCATTTGCAAAGATTCATATTTCCATCCCGTCGTGTTGCGGCACTTACCCAACTCGGCTTATCACCCTATTCTTCCATTCTTCGACCCTTGTGAAAAGTTTGTGATGCGAGTAAATGCATTACGTCAAAAAACAGCATAAAACAGGAGTGTTTTAAGCAAATATTTTGAACTAGCGCTATTCATCGGTTTTGGCGGTCCATGTTTTAGATACCAAGAACAATAATTTAATTCGTACGTTTGGATATCTCCAAAATACCAAAAAAACAGCTTTTAGGTTTCCAGATAACTAGACCACATGTTTTCAACAATGTGTTGACAAGTGTTTCTTTTTTTAATTTAGATCACAATGACTCATGTTCTACGTTTGGGGTAACATTCAAGATTAATTTCAGATTTGTAATCAATATTAATTATCCTTATTTGTTCTATTACGTACGGTAATTATTTTTACTACTTCCTTTTCCCTGACAGAAATGTATTCTGTACAGTGTCAAGAGTTACCTGAGATACAGTATTGATTCAATATAGTAATATATATTCATATAAATGTACCCCGACTCTGCACTGCATGTCCATTGTTCGTGAGTGAATGTAATATATATCTCGGTATCCACGTAGTGAGTGTATTCAACCCAACTCAAATTGAGACAGGCAAGGTTGTATTATTCTCATAATATTATCCACTGTCTCGTATTTATCTGTTAACTTCAAAATGAAGAAAACATTTATTTCTGTTACATATGTAAATTATATGAAGTGAAATTACTCTAAAAATATTACACTATTATTTAAATTTGTTTAACTTATAGAATGTTACCAATATTACCAACGTGTGAGTAGGGCTATGTTTCATATAGGTAAAAGTATTTGAAAATATATTAAAAATATGTTAAAAAGTTGCGATGTAGAGTTACTACTCTACACCACTACTTTACTCTACTTTTTACTGACATCTTTGTATTATACCATATTATTATACTTAGAATTATACCAGTGTCATAGGTTACTTATAATTTTTTTTTCTGTCTTATTCATGAACACGCCAAATATCTTACGAATACACATATGTCTTATTTGAACTGTTATTCCTTTTCTTACACACTATTTTGTCCATTTCAAGAAAGGAGATAGGACAGTGGCGTTATTAAAATTGATTTGAAAAATGTTGTAGTTAATATGAGAAATGGATTTAAACGTAATATTAGTCTAGAGAAAATATTTAATTTATACTGCAAACTATGTAACTGAAAATTTAAATTAAATCTGTTTCATAGTGTAAATATTGTTGTATGCGGAGCAATCATCTATAGTAATTTTCAAACATCAGATCAATATAATAATTTGAAACATTTTACACAAAACCAGCGATATTGGATTCCATCTATAGTTTCCAAGTTCTGCTCTGTTCGACCTTCGATATATATAGAACTATCTAGTCATTTTCAATGTTTTAGCAAATAAATGAAGGTGCGCTCTATTATTTGTCTGTTTAATGAAAATAGCAACCAAATTCCATAAGCGATATTAACCGTAATGATCCTTATTCTTATGTAGCAGGCAGTATACAGTTTACAGTATTTTATCATACTTTAAGATAATGCACACGAACGTTTAATATATTTAACTTAGGTCGCATATTATACTTGTAAAAGAAAATATAGAAGACGCGTAACCGGAAACCAATTACGAAACAAAGAATACATAGAAAGGACATAGAACTACGTACAGATATAAAACATATTACTGGGTCACCGAAAGATACGTACGTACAGTACTTTATGTCTCTTTTATTAGCAGGAGGCCCATAAACTGACTTCTCATCAGGCCAAATGTCAGTCTACTGTTATTTTGTTTTCCAACTAACTCGCTAACCAAGTTACTGAGCCTATAACTGAATAAATAATCTACATTATTCCCATTTTTTTATGAAATTGAAATGGCGAATGATAACGCTAATATATAAGACTAATTTACAGAAAGTTTGCATTATAGAATTCGCTAGTGGCATTTCTCATATATCGCTTTTCCTGAGAACTATATTATTTTATACCTCCTTGTAATGTGTCTCACATATTTGATCGATCGTATTCAAAGACATGACATCTTAGTCTTCTAGAATGCAAACGAATGATGTCATTGTCACATGATAACGTGAAGTCGGTGCTGCTGTTCATGTATATGATAGAGGCAATGGTTGCCATTTACCAAGCATTTTGCAAGTAGGTCATTAGCTTGTTTGCTATTACAGTTACGTAAAATAAACAAGCTACATAGTGACAAAATTAGGTGATACACAGATACCCATGAAGACGACTTAATACAAACTGTCCCTTAGGACCTGAGGACTAGAACAGAAAAAATAATTATCTAGCTACAATGAAGATAGCTTCTGTCTAGCGGCTAAGCACACCGCTTTCTTTTAGTCACGATAGTCACGGGTTCGATTCCGGACATGGTACAAACATTTATATTCAAGAGTATTATTTCTGTATCGCTCTAGATGCTTTCTAAGGATATATGTATTTACAAAAAGCGCTGTATTTGAAGATTTCTATTAGTTGTTTAGTTATGGGTATAACATAAGCTCTATTCAGCTTGATACTAGATGGCGTTGTGTGACTTATCCGGGGTTGTTATTATTATAATGAACAACAATTTCATTCTTGAAATAGCTCGTCACCTGTCTAACTTAAGAGGATTACTGACACGACATTCCACTTTGCCAATTTAATTCCGCGGCCGCGCTGTCATATTCAATATACCAGTACACTCATACTGTGTATCTATTTCCGGAAACTATATTGTGGACTATCGACCCGCCGGTAGAGTTATCTAATTTTAGTTAAATTGTATATATACTTCATGTTACTCAATGTTAAGCTGGTTATAAATATATATATATATATATTCAAGTGTAAAGTCTATATTATTTTCTCTTTATGATTTTAGTCTTAATACCCATTTACTTTAAACTTTTGGGGGTTCGCTCTATCTCCCCACGGTGACCAACCGTATTGGGGATTGTTTGTTGTTGTTGAATAATACACATTTATATTCATTAAATAATAAGTATGTTAAATATATTAATAGGATTGTACACATTGAATATACACATTGTTTTATATTTAATTACGTCTAAATATACTAGAAAAACTTATAAACCATGTTTAGTTTGAAACTAAATTACACGGTGTAAAATAACCACAGTTTATTTTATTTATATAACTTCAATGCACAAAATACCAAGGTAAAAGTACATATGGCGAACTTAACGCCTTATGGCATTTTCTACCAGTCCACCACAGGTTGTGCAGAGAAATAGTAGGCGGTGCAAATGTAATCATAAATGGTCATAAATAATATATATTTACTAAAATTTAGTACATGTAAACATACATATACAAAAACATACCATATATATAAAGCTATATATAAATATGAATAAAATACATACCTAAATATACTATATACATATCATATAACATTCTTAAGAGTCTGACAATGAAATAGCAACAGCAGATAGAACGTAACAAAAAAAAACACACAAATTCTGGCAACTATAATATAATACTATAACGTAGAAAAGATGTACAAATAAATAAATATTGAGTCACGCAAAAATAAAAAAAAAATCTATTCTACATAATAGAAAACTTACATGCTGGAATAGTATTTCCGCAATTTACGCTTTAAAGAATTAATTTATATGTCCATTTATTTTAATTATTCCGGAAGTTAAACTTGTAGGCTACAAGTAACAGAAAGGTTCAATAAATAATTATGTTCTTTGTATGATAACGAACAAATCCGCCTCCCCATAACAGCAAATATAATGGGTAAGGGACTAGAGAATGTGACGTATAATCCCATAATGTTTTGTACCTTAATAGGGAGTTCCAATTACGAAATATGAAACATTGGTTCTGTACGTTATTGTACCAACGAATATGGTATTACAAATAACTACAAATAAATTCTTCGTTCTTATATTCTTGCAGGATCAATAGGCAAAACAGAATTATAAATAACATTATAAATAACAAAGATATATACATAGTATAATAATATATATGAATAGTTTAAATATTAAAATGTAGGTATGTGGTATAATTATTGTAAAGTCAGATTACGTAAGGTAAAAACTAAGCTTTAATATTTAGGAATAAAAATATTAAAAACAAAATTCTAAATACATAAATTTTAGATAAATTTATTAACGACTGTAGTAAATGTATATTAGGCTATCCAATATTTTATACCTTTAGGCGATGAATTTTCAGAAAGACTGAAGCACCTGATGCTTTGATTAATTTCTCAATTTTAACTAATGACGGGAACTTCCGTATGAAATTCCAACCCTTATTTAGACCTTTAAGAGGGGCTCAATAAACCCAAAAGAGTAGAGTGCGGGTAAACAACTGCATGTTTATGAATAACGAATGTATCTAATATTAAATATTTACTCTTCTTTTTGAAGTGCATTCAAAGTAAAGAAACCTGTTTTTGGCATTTAATATTTATCAATGTAAGTAAGGGAGAAATAAATAACCTGGACAATTTACACAGCGCCATCTAGTCACACGGTAAGCAGAGCTTCTGTTATGGGTACTAGGCAATAACAATTAACTAACACCCAGACCGATACAAACAATCATAATCATTAATTCAAATATTTCCATCGTGCGAGAAATCGAACCGGCAACCATCGGAAGTAAAGCGGTGTGCTAAACTGCTAGACCACCGAGGCAGTCAATGTTTAATTAGTTTAAATTTTTGATTTGATTGTCAATAAATCTGACGGTCTAGCCAATGGAATGTGGTAACTGTACTTAAATTGGTGTCAATAAAATATTTTATTATTATTTACTGTGGCCTAGGTTTATACATGAGCAGCAACATGGCCATCTCGTAAATTTGATATGACGGTGGTACATGCTGTATCATTTCTTGGAATTAAGATGGTACGCTTTTGTACCTAGTAATTAAATCATTATGGATATGTAAAAATAGATAAAAAATATTATAATGATTGGACCACAATCTTAGTGACACATTTATTTTGCAGGTGTTCATAAAATCAGAATTAAAAGTCGGAGTCATCTACGTCAAGGAGAGTCAGTACACAGAAGAAGAAATTCTGGACAATAATGAGAACTCACCGATGTTCGATGAATTTCTACAAGTGTTAGGGGATAAAGTTCGACTTAAAGGTAAAGCGTTATTTCTTACACAAAATAATTGTTATTTTTAATCCAATTTGTAACTAGCTGTATTCCATGTCGTTCTTCACGTGACTTCGGGTAAAAAGTGTAGGTACTTTGTGTTAATCTAAAATATTATCTATCGAATGGATCCTGTCGTTTTGTCAAGAAAAAATAACAAACGTATGTCCTTAAAGAATCGCATTTATGATATTACTAGGTATGCCCACGGTTTCACTCGCATGAAATTTATAGCCTATATTCGTTATATTTGTTCTAATGTATAAGCTATAATTATATAATTACTGTAAAGTTTCATTAATATTCTTTCAGTAGTTTTCGCTTAAAAGAGTAACAAACATCCATCTATCCATCTATCCCTCCATACTCATAAACTTTCACGTTTATAATATTAGTACGATTATTAATCAACATATTTTATTATGCCATTTTAATACTAGTATTAAAATATTTAGTACCCACTTTTTTAAACTCAAAAAGGTTAATACATCATTTTAATATTTAGCTATTTCTCGTAAACATAATCAATCGACTGAATATTTTATTGAGATGCTTAATCTCTTTGCCATACTAAGCAGGCAATTTATATAATTAAAGCCAATAACAAGAAATGCGAAATTGACGGAAATTTATATAAGGATTCAAGAAATTAAATTAGCATCGTAAATGAAATCAAACGTTACCTACACCAACATAAATATTAATACGTATCGTAAATTAAATTATGTATCATTACAGGTTTCGATAAATACAAAGGAGGTCTCGACACGGTACATGATCTGACAGGTCTCTATTCAGTATATACCAATTGGAGAGGTATAGAGATCATGTTTCACGTATCAACACTCTTGCCTTATGAAAGACATGATCCACAAAAGCTACAGAGGAAACGACATATAGGGAACGATATAGTGTGCGTGGTGTTTTTAGAAGCTGATAATACCGCATTCTCTCCAGCCTGTATCAAAAGCCATTTTTTACATACATTTATATTAGGTAAGTCAAAAATTACTCGTTGATTATTGTTATGATTTTTTGACTGACATAAAGTCTTAGCCTATATTTGAGCGCGTCGTAGCGAAATAGGAAACTTATACCGTTTACAATTTCGACTTAAATACTTAATTGGTCGATATTTCGCTCTAACTTATCGACGATTGTTCTTATGTCATTATTTCTTAGTTATCTACTTTTTACAGCGTCCTTGTAGAGTCGTTACTACTCAGACTTACGCTAAAAAGACATGTGTTCAAATCTGGCCGAGACCAAAGAGATTTGTGTGTCCATTTATATTATACCATATACCATAAGAAGCATACCTAAAATAAGTAATCAATCCGAAATATGGCTGCCCTTGTCACGATAAATTCAAATATAGCCAGCGAAATATGGTCATATCAAATGTTGCCTTTACTATAAGTTCTCATTGCTTCATCTGGGATGATCACAGTCATGATTTATGTGATTTAACTATTGATACTGTGGTTATTAATGATAGTTTATAAAATGAATATATATACCTATAGATATTTTAAATTACTTTTTAATATTCATTTACAGTTAGGGTATCGGCTAAAATAAAACGAAGACCAACTAGGTACGAGGTGTCGGTTGTCACGCGAGATGAAGTTGGTGCCTACAAGCCCTATTTATGGGAGCAAAGTGTTTTTGACAAAGGACCCATGTTCAGGTAAGTAATTAATATAAAATAATTACCAGTGTGTTCACTAAAGCATGGAGGTTCGACATTACATGCCATAAAAAAAATGTAATACCATTTAATTGTAGAAAAAGTGGCACACGCAATTTATACTTTCTAATATTTTATAAGTTTTAAAACATTAGAATATTTATATTTTTTTAGAGAATGGCTTCTTACCAAGATAGTTAATGGAGAGAGAGCTTCGTATTCAGCGCCTAAATTTGCTAGAATGCAGGAAAGAACCCGCAGTCAAATGCTAGAAGATATAGTGGCCAATTTACAAAACCATGCCGAAACGGGACAGATACCCAAGCCCTACAGAAGAGGTATTATATTATTCTTCTATAGCAAAGTAACAAAATGTAATTACCGAAATCTCTGGCACTCTAGCCAACGATAGACATTTCACACAACGCCATCTAGTCCGAAACTCAGCAGAACTTCTATTAAGGATACTAAACAAATGATATAAATAAGTTTTTTTTGTAAATACATACTTAATAATCGGTACACAACTTACAACTCATGCTTGTAGACGGGAAAAAGTGCGATCGAAATATTCACGCGAAAGACTTTTAGCGAAGTCCAAGCCTTGGTGAAAGATATTGAAACGCATCCAAGATTTACAGTCGTTTCTTTTTTGTCATGTCTAAAATGCTAACATTTGTATCAGGTTCATGGCGTCCAATAGGCCACATGCGACCATCGTCCCCTCTGTTGGACTCTGTTAGAGATCAGTTCGAGGACTACGACCAACTTGCTAAAGACTTTACGCGTGTTTTCTTAAATAACGAGCCAAATGCAGCGCAAAACGCACAAATGTTCGACGTTGTGTTCCTAGTAGGACAGTCTAAACAGAAGACTAAGTTCATTGGAGTACGAGCGATATTAGGCGTAAGAAGCAGGTAATATCTTGATATTGTTATGATAATTTGTTTGGATGACTTTATAAGATGACCGGAGTTTCTTCTTTACTGACCTGATTAAGGAATATTAAAATAAAAAAATAATTAAATATACTCCTACTTTAAATTACTTTATCTTTTCTTTGCTTCGATCTTCGTAACTAATACACAATAAAAATGAGTGCGTCAATTTTGTACTTATGATGAAAACAAAATGTAACAGTTTTTAACTTGTCCTTTTAAGAAACTTGTAATTAAAACGAGGTTGTCAATGTAACTTTAAGTTAATTAGGTTTGAAAAGTTTTATTTTACAAATTTAATTATTTTAAGAAGCGTCCTCTTTGTGTAAAAGTGTTTAAGCCCTTGAATTCGAATATAGCAACTAGCTTGTTTAGAATATATAACAACACTTTCAAGAAGTTGTATTATAATGCCTTTAACTACATATTTGACTCTTTTATATATCATATCTTATACATATCCTATTTAGAAGATTCATTATTTATAAATTTTTTCCCCTTTAGGCATTTTAAGCATACGTATGTAAAACCGAATTTTGTAAATCCTCTATTTTAAAATAAATTACATAAATTTATTTCAGAGTGTTTCAAGAAATGTTGTACGGCATTCAGACTGGGTTTGGATCACCACAAGTACCAGTAGCCGAGCTGCTAGCGCGGCCAGCACCCACTCTCCTTTCCCCCACACCTGCAAGACAAAAGAGCAGCAACTTTCTACAAGTCCCCGACATCGAGTCTCCAAGGTTATTATTTATGATAGCTTCTTCTGTTGTCCATTTTACAATTTTCTATTTAAATGTCCTTTTTAAGCTTGCTCTAGTTTTACTTACATATAAACCGAAAAGCAACCATTAACATTAAAATTATAAAGCTTTAGTCACAACTAAAGCTTTATAATTTTAATGTTCCCTGACCGTCAGAGTTCTTTATTGACAAACTCTGATCTTCTTATATTTAGATTGAGTTGTGCAATAAATTATTATTATTCAATATATAATATCTGGGCGCCTGGTAGAATGGAAAGCAAATGTATAGTTTCAATATACGTATTTTTTAATGTCGAATATTAAAAATTTTAAATAAATATTCCTGTAAAAAAAACTTGGATTGACCAACATTATCAATTAGGGTCAAAAATTGTTTACGTCCTGTTCTCAAACCTACTGAATATACAAACAAAATTCCATAGAAATTAGTCAAGCCATTTGGGACGAACTTTTAGTTACATATATTAGATTACACAACTTTAATTGCTACGTTACCCTAGGTGATTCTTCAATACATTGGTTTAAAATTTCAATTACTTCTTACATCTCTCTGATTGACTTAAATACATTTCATTACATATTACTTTTCAGACCTAAAAGCGTGCCTAGTTCGCCGATGGTCAAACGCGCTTTCTCCCGACTCGGCACGTTAACGGCGGGCTGGGGTCGCTCTATACGTAAACAACACTCGCAGCTCAACGCTGATGACAAGAAGAAATGGGCCAGCTCACAAGACTGTTCTAGTGAGTTGATGAGAATTAGAGATATACACCTGTATATTTACATAAATCAATTTCAACTTATCCTTGTTAATGTATAGTACATTTACTTAAACAACATTTATTTAAAAGAGCAACACGCAAGTTTCTTGCTCATTCTTTTTGTGATGAATGTGCGTTCCGTTTGTGTGGTAGAATATAAAAATATGACTATTGAAAAGTGCTATTATTAAGTATATTTGAATAAAGATTATTTCTCTCTCTCAAAAAAATTGGTGTATAAAAAGTGTTGTTACTAAATAAAATTACAAAATTACTATTATTCTCTAAGAATTCTTGGAAGACTTCATTGTAAATAAACGTAGACAAATCATACAGCACGTTCTGGTCCTAATCTAATCACTGCTTGTGTTATGGGTTCTAGACAATTGATACAAATATTTCAGTAACATTTTCTGTAGATTCATAAATAATATACATAGAAATCATTCAAAACTCATGACTACAAATGTTTATAACGGACAGGGAATCTAACGCGTGATCATCGGAAGGCGGTATGCTAAATGCTAGATGACCGAGGTCGTTAATAAATAAATCTGTAGCGAGAATATTAGACTAAATGGCTTAAAGTAATGCATTGTGCTCCATACAAAAATATATGAATCAAAGAAGGCAGTATAGCCTAACAATACAAATATTTCATTTTATTATATATTTTTAATATTATTATATTTAGCAAACATATGGGGTAAATAATAAGTATCATTTGATTTTTCCAACAGTTTATTAAAAATAATAATAATAATCTCAGGTCAATTCACAGCGCCATCTAGACCCAAGTTAAGCTAGCTAAAGCTTGTGTTATGGGCACAGATGAATGATACATATACATAGATTTTTTTTTTAAATACATACATATTATACATAGAAAACACCCAGACCGATACAAACAATCATACTCATGAATACAAATGTGTGTGGCGTGCGAGGAATCGAACCCGCGACCATCGATCGTAAATCGGTGTGCTAGACCACAAGACCACCGAGGTCGTCACGTCAAAATGGGACTAATGAATTACTTATAATTTTTATATCAGGTACCAAAACTTGATGAAAAATTTGATCCTTTACGTAATTGTATTTTTTAGATAAAGAAGGAAAAGATAAAGACAAAGACAAAAATGCTGCATTAGCAGTACCGAGACTGTCAGTATGCGCGGATGCGCAGAAAGTCGACCGTGCCAAACTTGCACAGACTGAGGTAATCTTGTTATTATAATAAAATAATTATATTTCTCTAAGAGTTATTAGAAGTGTTCGCTATAAATAACAACCATAGACATCCATGACATGAAAATTTTTGTCTGTCTGTCTGTTTCGTATCAACAGAGATTTCAGACGTAGACGTGGAAGACACAAATTTCACTATCATATCAAATTCAAAATTCTAGTTCTGTCTTCTACCTACAAGGACCAGATGTAAATTTAACAATAAAGTTCTAATAGCCGATAATATAAATAAACAATTTTGATTTGACTTTGACTTAAAAATAGGGCATACAGAGTAGGTATAATAAAAATGGTAGAATGTTAAGGCAGCCTGCGCATTAGTGGAACTCATTTGGTTCTGGTGTTACCAGATATATAATATATTTATATTCAATTTTCGCATTGCAGTTTTCAATAATAGAATTCGACCCAGAGACATTCCGGATACTACTGGACTACCTGCACACTGGTAGCTGTCCACTCACGTGTGCTTCGATACCTGGCCTTATATGCGCCGCGGAACATTACGACTTACCCGAACTACTCCAAGCTTGCTTCCACCACGCCAAGCAATTCCTTAGGATAGATGTTGTAAGTACCAATTTGATATATGATTAGTTAAAACAAATCTTCTAAACTGAAGTAACCAGCAAAACTGGATGGTAAGGTTAAATATAGTAAAGAAATATATGTTCACAAGTCCTTTAGACATAAATATTTTAGATTTTGACAATAATAACTATGAAGAACATAAAGTATCTAAAGGTTTAAATGCATATTACATAAAGCTTCTTCAAGAAGGGTTTAAATAAAATATCTTCAGACAAGAATGAACTTACACTTTCTATGTCGTATTTTTATATATACAGCATCCATAAGTTTTCTAAAAACTTTCTCTATGAAGATAATTTATAATAAAACTATTTGGACACTCATAATGGAAAATCTGCATGTTTCAGGTATGCACGATGCTCATATCATTAGAAAATTATTACTGGCGGTACACGTCAGCCTCGGAATTGGTGAACATGATTCTGGCCTTCATCGAGCAGCGAGCGTACGCGCTCTTCCAAACTCCGGAGTTCCTCAACCTCTCGGAATCCATGGTGCAAATGATCATGTGCCGGAATCTTGAGGTACCCGAAGTGAGGAAGTTCGAAGCGATGCTCGGTTGGGCCAGAAACAAGATCAAATCAAAGTCCGCAAATAAGACTGATGCCAAAAATGAATTTAAATGCATTATGGAGAGGTTAGCTAGGGATCTGAAACTGTATAGGATCACACCGCAAGAATTGATAAAAGTGGTTCTCCCGTCGAAAGCTATCAAGAACGAAAGGATACTGGAGACACTGATGTACCAGGCGAACTCGGGCATGTACAGGATTCAGGATAGCGACATAGAAGCCTGCCAACAGCGGCTGCTGCAAAAACAAGACTCGAGATTCTCTGAATTCGAAAGCTTCGACTATGGTATATAAACTTGGAGCTGTGAGGATAATCAGTGTATTAGATAGATTACGAGAGTGTTTGGGCTGGATCCTTCTTATAATGTGGTATGTTAACGCCTTCTAAAGTATTATTGTTATAGATGTATGTACTTGAGTAGAGGGTACGAGAAATATTTGTACAATTCTCGGATACCTATTCCTTGTTGTTGTTCATTGATACCTATATTTTTTACATCTAACTAGATGTGTTCAACATAATCATCTCTATTTTTGGTACCAAGTGAAATAAGGTATTATGTATTTAGTCTGACAATTGAAAAACCTACCTTAAAATTATTGTTCAAGATAAAATATATATAACAAAATATTTTCTCCTGTGATTCGCCAGTGAAGTGTAGTATAACATTTTCAGGATTAAGATACAAATACTTACATATCTATTGTTATTGATTCTTAATATACCTGCTCACCCGACGACTTCTAATTGTTCAGCGAGCATGATTACATCATCGGTTGTTGTTTTGTAAACAGCCAAATTTGTGTACCTATGTAATATTACAAAATATTAAAATAGTATTATTGATATAAGAAAAAGTAATTGAAACAAAGAGTTACAAATTATATTTTTTAAAAGTATAAACAAAGACAAAAATAAATAAATGTGATAAAAAATTACTTTTATATTATACTACTAAATATCGATTTTGAGTGTTACTTCAAATTGCATTATATTTCCCACATTTGGTAAGTGTTTCTTAAAATCTTCATTCGTTCATATTGACACGCACTCCCTCATATTGTAGGTACTATATTAATATAATGATGATTATGTTAGTAGCTACGACTCGTAGAAATGACTGATTCTATAATCTGTTGAATGGAGTCATCCTAAGGTTATATTAATATACTTGAATGAATTAACTATTGACTTTAGGCTAACAGTGTATCTCTAAAACTAAGTTGTAATGGTTATAAAAACTTATAGCTAGATAATTCATTTGTAGAATAAATAACACAACAATAAAAAACAGCGTTTCTTGAAGTATCTTCATATGATGTCACAGTCAATATTTCGTAAGCTATAAGATCTTCTTTGTACCTATGTCATTATAATAATATTACTTATGTCATCAACAAATCATTAAAGCACTTAACTTCCTATTTGTTAATGCAGAGCACAAAAAAATATTGCGAAACTATGTGTACATAACAATGTTCATATTTCATTCTTTCTTATCGTAAATTTTGTCTAATCTGTCAACCCTATCACTTGCACTGACCATAGACATTCTTTGTAATTTCTAATAAGAATCACGCACAATTTCTCTATCTTACGAAATATCACGTTTACAATTGTATTATGCTAGTTACTCATATTATTCCTATTATTCTAAAGATTTTCTTTATAAACGGACAAAATCTAAATAACATAACAAAAACAGCAGTGGTTCATAAATAATTTCTCACCAGTCTCTCTATTTGTTGATATGCATAACTATATTTTTGCAGTCATTATATGATCAGGCGTTTTATAATTTGTGTAGTATTTAAAAGTAATAATAATTTAATTATTTATATGTAATAAAATCTATTTTTTGTGCAAACATAATATACCAAATTTGCATTAATTTAATTTTATGTTATTTGCTCGATAAGTTAACGTATATTAATAAGTTAACTTACGTAATAAGTTAACTCGAGAAGTTAATTTTAATTCAGTGCTTGTTGAGAAATGATAAATATTTATTTAACAAATGTAAAAAAGCGTCATTATACTCCATATATATACCTTATACCTATTTTTCAATACAAATGTAATCTTTCTAGCTCTAGAATAGCTAAAGAGCTAACAAATCATTACATATCAAATTCACACAAAATAAGCACAAACATAGACATAACATGTTAAGTTTTTTCTGTGTACACAATTTACCATTATACCTACTTAAAAAAAATATACCTTCTTGTTATAAATAGTACACTACTCATGTAAGTAAAATAATATATTTTAATAAAGGCTGAAAATAAAAATCTTACCTACTTTAATAGTATTGATATATGTATTGATAATCATATCTTCCATCTTTAATGTAATTGGAAATTAAAAGAAAAGTACTTACAAATCGATCTCGCACACGAAAGGTTTCGTACATATACATATAATTTAAACAATAATTTATTTTCGTATACTATTTATTTAGGGGTCAATACCTATAATAAGTATTTGCTGGACTACATATACTATAATTTTGTTAATTTAAATAAAACATAACTGTGAATTCCGATTGCATAACTAAGTTTGTTGAAACCGAATAAAGGGAATACGTATGGACGTATAAGACGATGTATATTAAAAAAAATAATATATTATTTCCAGAAAGTAACTAATTATAGGTACTGATGGTATGATAAATAAAATTTGGCAAAATTGAAGATGCAATCAACAATTTTCACCTACTTTATCAACTAATGATTCCTTAAAATGTTTCATCGATATATGTATTGATAGATCACATATAGAAAAGCGTAGCAACCATTCCAACATCAGTTTTCTATTATCTAACGATAAACCACCTGTATATCAGGAGATCTTAATGTCTGGTCTCTATGTAACTGTTGGAACAATCTGACGATATATAATCTACTGTATATCAGCGGTCTTAGAATTCAATTTCCGATCTCTCATAAACACTGCATAATGCATGACTTTTGACTTCACTCATTAGATTAATCATAAATGCAAATCATATATATATATATAATAGATAAATCTATATTTAATAACCTTTGAAAGAAAATAAGTATGTTAATGTAGGAAAATTGCAAAGGCCCCATACAGTATACAGGCATAATATACAAGGCAATAGGCTTGTTGTCTATATAAAATTTGTGCTTTGTTAAATTATATAAAATATATATGGACTGTGTAGTTATATCTATTTTAATAGACAATTATTCTATAATATTTGTCTTCATTGTTATTATAATTTTAAAAATGTAATTTACCCATTATAAGTACTTAAACAAAATTGTGTGATGTTAGGAAATTCAGTTCCAATTGGAGACTGATTTTTTTAATTTCACACAATTTTGTATGGAACTATCCTCTATTGTTATGTATTCACTTGTTCATAAAGTACTGAGGTTATATTCTTTATCCTGACTTTGTTTAATCAAATTTTAATTTTAAAGAAATACTAGAATAAAATAAAGAATATAGTTACAAATACAGTTTATGAATGTTTTCAACGTTTCTGATCAATGTTGTTTATATCTTTTTCATATCATCATAGTATGTCAACACGAACCTATGTTTGTGTTCAACACAAACCTTTTTTTTTATTTTCCTAATATATTCTATATTTTTTTACTTCATTGCAATATCCTAAAACCCATTCGACTGTGGTAAGCTCTATGGTAATCTTGAAAACTGTAATTTTCTTCAACCGTGTTTATATGATATTTATCATAATAAATAAGAATAAATTGTTATCACTTTAGCCGACGCTCACGGACAGAAAAATGGCACGCTAAATGTTTTTTTTTTTCCAATGGGGATGCCAAATAAGCAAATATATATGGTAAACATAAAAATACGTGCAACACTTGAGTCACCCAGTAACTTATTAATAAAAAAAATAACTCTGTCAAACTCGCGCTTTACTTCTTTGGTATTATCTAATGTTATATCGATAATATTTAATATGGCAATAGACAAATTTAGTATTTAAAAAAAATAAAAACTATCAAATCAGTCAGATGATGTGAATTTTTAACAGTGATTAATTTTAGCATATTTTAAAATTAGCATAAAAAATCTATTGTTTCTAAATTTACATTTTTAAGTTAGCACCTTTAGGATATAAATAACTAACCAAATCAGATTTGAATACATTCAAACTTGAAACAAGCATAATTTCGCTAATTCTTAAATGAACTCGATCAGGAATCGAACGTGTATGTCTTCCACCGGGGCACGGAGATCGCTATATTCTTATATATAACAAGACGTATAATGGATACCATGAACTGCAGAGTATATTTTTTTAATATCCATGCCTTCCGTTTATGTCATCGATAGTTACCATGACCTATCATCTTGTTTGTCATTTCCATAATTATAAAAATCAACTGTGTTTAACACTGTCTTGAAGAAGAACACCACTTTCCATGTGTCTTGTAGCCAATATGATGTTGCAAGAATATTACAGTGTGCCACAGGATTTTAATGAAAACTGCCAAATTAATCCGTCAGTGTGCGCCGGGCCCTAATCGACTTTATATACTCCGCGCGTTGTAATATGGTTCGAATGACAATGACGAATAACATTTTTCTCTAAATTCGGCTAAATATAAATTTAATAGTCATAGTTAACATTCTCTCATAATTATTTCTCGTAATGGTATACGACTCATTGATACTTATGTAATTTACTTTAGTTTCACTGAGTTGCATAGATACCTGGTCAGAACTGAGGTTAGATCCCACATTGAAGACCTTAGACTAAAGTCGTGTCGTCAAACATCGTTGGCCTTCTGCCGCTCCTCAAAACCACCCAAAGATTTAAAGTGCACTGTGCATTTATTTCATTTTGTTCTGGTGACGCTATAAAGACTGTTGTAGCTAATAGCATCAGAATAGACATAAGAACCTGTCATTCGCACCATATTGTAACACATAGAGTGTACTTTGCATGTATCTTTTTGAGTTTACGTGTGTACATATGATGACTTTTCTATTTAAATGACTTTTTAATCAATAGGTGTTACTATATAAATATATAGCCTAAATATATAAAATCTAACGTTCTGAAAATAAAATTAAAACAAGTTGAATTGTCAGTAAATGTTTTGTACTAACGAGATTATACACCTATTATATATATATATATATATATATATATATATATATAATAAATACTATGTATATATCACAGCCATAATACAATAGTGCATTAACTCAAAAATAAAAAATATATTGGACTTTAAAATATAAACGTTAGAGTCTATTTCCGATTTTCCGATTGTATTATTTTTTGAGATACTCCAGTATTGTATTAAGACTGTTATTATTATTACCTTCTATAACTTTGTATTATAACTTTTACTTTGTTGTAATTTTGCTCAAAGCTTTCATATATTATATACCTACCTATACCACCGTTACCCGTTAATATGTGAATATATATATATATTTATAATGTGATTATATTTTGTGAATATTTCAGAAAATGTACTATTATAGAACCTAGATCATCTTATAGGATTTCGTGCTTCTATAATACTCATATATGTATCTTTAGGTTTAATTCGTAGGAACACCAAATAATTGACGTGTCAAGCTATAATGTTAATAAGTTTTCTATTCCAAAATTTTTACCTTCCTGTGATTGTGGATGTTGCTATATGTTAATATGTGGGATCTTCAAAGAATATAAAATTATAACTGTTATTTTGCATGAGCAAGATTATTATCCAATGAAATTTTATGTGGTGAATAAATTTGTTTGTGTATTTTTGTGGTTGTTTCTTTATAACTTCCCTCCTACAAAACAGTGTAAAAATAAAACTTCAATGTACGTACTATCTAATAAATGTATATTAACGACTATATCTCAATACGTAACTGGAGAGATTGGCAGCAATGAACTCTATGACTAACATGCTGTGCCCGCGGTTTCACCCGCGTGAAATTTATAGCCTATGTGTTATTCTGATGTATTAGCTATATTCCTGTAAAGATTCATCAAAATTCGTTCAGTAGTTTTTGCGTGAAAGTGTAACAAATATCCAGCCATACTCACAAACTTTTGTTTTTATAATATTAAAAAGATTAAGAGGATAGTGTGCCTACACTTTTTTACACTTTAATAACATTAAGTTAAGTGTAAAGTCAGTCTACGTCCCCACTCCGCGTAGTATGTACGCGTTACTATAACCATCACATTACCAAATAAACTTACTAATGTAAAATAAATAGTACAATTATTCACCGTTATACCCACTACCTCATCACATCATACATAACGCTTCAGTGGTGAGGTGATAACCACCGCGCTACAATAGTTAGAGGCTTCATCAACTATCGACGTCATGGTGAACGCAACACTAGTACATAGGTACTATTAGGCCCCCATTGCGTCCATTTGCTATGAATTTGTTAATGATGTTTCCATTACTAGAGAGTGAATCAGAAATATAAATAAACACATTACTTGAAATGACAAATATATTACGGGATTAAAATTTGTGACAAAATGTATGCAAAATTCAACCAGTGTTGCCAGAACACAGGAATTTTCCTAAAATAACCCAAATTTTGGCCCTCTATCAAAATTTTCAAACTGTATTCTGTAGTCAAACGAAAACGCAGTTACATTATAATATCAATAAAAGGAAGAACAGCTAACGATAAAAGTAATAATCAGTATACAAATATTGAACAATATCACAGTACCCTCTGTATACAGCGTTCATTTATGTCAGTACATTTTCTCTCTCAGAACTTACAGTTAGATATAATCACATCTAAAAAAATATTAAAATAGTATTGGAGAAAGTAATTCCATTTCCATACGGATCCCCTTAACATTACCACTTTGCATTAGTGAGCTCTTAAATTTGACAGTTGATTACGTGATTCCGTGAAACGGAACGCAGTGCGCAGGGCGAAGCGAAAGTTCCAGCTATCGCCGCGAGTAGCGCTCGTGCGCCAGTCTTCTTGCAGCGGGCGCGTGGCCGGCTGCTTGTTGCAGTGCGCGGTGCGAACCATCACACGCGAGTTCGCGGTCATAGGCTCGAACGAACATCGAAATCGACGGTCAGTGCGGTGACCATGATGATGGACAACGGGGTGATAACAAATAACTATGAGTACGGCGATGGGTACATGGAACAGGAGGAGGAGTGGGAACGCGAGGGTCTACTAGACCCGGCTTGGGAGAAGCAACAAAAAAAGGTCAGTTCATTTATCAGTACTGACACACTAGCTAAAAAGGACAGGTAAACTTTAACAATGAATAATAACAAACGTAAATCAATATGTATATGCTGAACGCTATTAAATACAGTCCAATACTCTTATCACAACCGTGACTAACGTTTGTGTACAGTTTATGGGTTTTATCTATAATATTCATTCGTGAAGCATTCACGCTTCCAGGTACATTACGTTTTACAAATAGGTGTCACAGAATTTTTAAATTAAACAGACTGAATAAATCTTGGCTCATTTTTAATCTATTTTTAGCCAACAATCTACACCCTGTTATGAAATTACATTGTTAACCATGATTAACAAAAAGTATAATGCAATTTTTTATAACGGAGCCTAGTTTCGTTGGTCAAATAAAGATTTATATTTTATCTATTCGAAGGTACGATCACGCGATCAATTGAAAACCGCGCGTATTTCAAAAATCGAACTCTCGTATACATTTCCCGCCGCTAGTTGAAAGTAGATCGCGGCCGTGGACACTATTAAAAGATTTCTTGGAGCTTTTGGTGCGAGCGAGACACGCTCACGTGACGTCCCACGGGAGGGAGCGGGTCAGAGAGAGAGGAATCGAATTTCCGTTAGTCATGTCCTAAAATGGGTCCAGCGCAGGCGCAACTGAAAGCGCGGGCGTCCGTCTTTGCGTCACCGTGAAACCCGTATTTCAGGAAACTGCCATGCTTGCTGAGTCTACGTAAAATGCAGCTTGTAATTTGCTATTAACGCTACTATCGGGTGTTCCATGACGAACGCTCTGACGCACCCCGTGAGCTCAACTCGAGTGGAATGTCATTAACGACCTACGAAAGCGCTCCTGCCATTCTTTGAAAACAATTCCATTACGTTTGTCTACTGTTAAAATACTGCAAAATCTGCATAATAATGACACAATAACTTTTTAAAAGAATTAACATAAAATATTCAGTACTGTCATTTTGTGGTTTACTACCACAGTAATTTTTAAATACATTCATTTTCATTTAAAAACATTGCTGTATCTCATGGCCTTAATCTATTATTAGGTAAGCAACAATAACACAATTTATAGAGGACATTACTTTTTAAGTTTTAATTAATCTCCTATTTAGTGTTAGTAAGAACTCGTGATATTAAATATTTATAAACACGATTATCAATGAAAAATAATTCTAATGTAGGTATACTTAACAATTACAGTTATCATACTTTACAATATCTAAAAAAAAGAATTTTCAGATAAACTTCCAATCACTATAAATAATATAAATTAACGAAACCACTAATAAAAGCTAATAAGTTTAAACTGCTAACGAAGAAACTGATTAGAGAGGACAAAGAACAAACAAGTGGTACACGGTAGGTCTCGCAGGATATAAACAAAGAGCCTGTGACACCCGGTGCATTGGCCGATCATGTATGCCAGGTCAATGTCGCGGTCGACCAACTTGAGATGCGACTGAGCGGAAAAGTCACCCGACCAGTCGCCCTCGCTGTGCGTCGCTTCACTGGAATAAGACTTCCGCAAAGAGGTTACTAGCACAGATACGGCAATATGTTTTCATCTTGAAGTCCATGATCCATCAATTTAAAAGCCTACGAAAGTGCAATCCGGAAACAACTTTCATTTTAAGTAAACTTGAACACAAATTATAGAAACGAAAGGCAATTTCAATATGCGATGGAATGACAAATTTATTAAAAATCATATGAACAGATGATTACACTAGAAATCTGCCGCGAAAGTTGTAAATTTGGAACTGGTTGGTCGGTAATTTACATGATGCTCATGGATTCTATGTTAGATAGACATAACAGAAAACTAATATGTTAACTAAAATATTTTCTAAGCTACATTCCGGTAATTAACGTTACAACTAAGTAAACATCACAGTTATACTGTGGTATGTATTGTTTAGGTACGCATAATAAACACAGTGCCTGAAATGATATCCAGACTCGCAACCAACTTAATTTTTGGATAATTTCTTCTATCTGAAAACGGTATACGTAACATGCTACACTACATTTAAAGGGAGGTGTAATTTATTTAAATAAATAATATGTACAAATCAGATTTATTTCTGCTTTCGTTTTCATTACCACTAATACTAACATGTATCTCTATTACAACAATAAATACTAATAGTAATATTCCTAGACAATTTAATATTCGAAACTACGAGTACATTCCTTTCGGAGTAAGTTAAAGTTGTCAAATTTTGTAATAGCATTATCATTAGAGGTATTGTTGTTATTAAAACCATTTGGTCCACTCGATAGTCCATTCGATACCACTTGGGTCAGATATTAAGTGGTGGATGTCTGTCGGGTAACTTACATCATAGACGTATTCTAGGAAAGATAGTCACATACGTTTTCCTGGTGCCTTATACGCCAGAACTTACTTTATTTACTTTACCTTAATCACTGCAACCATTCCTCATAGTGAGACTATACTTCGTAGTGAGGCTCAATGTTGGGAAAAATAATAGGTTTTTGTCAAAAGCTCGGTAGTAGATCCCACAAGCATTACTTATTACTTAGACTTTTCATTCTTTCTTCTTTTTATCAAAAGAAATGTGTTTAATTGAAATGAAATGAAATGAATATTTACATATGTGTGGTTTTTAAGATCTTTAGAACTAGTTTCACACATTTTGTCTTTCTGACATACAACAGTGATGTCAATTTTGGTTATTATTCGTTAGTCAATATTAAGTACGTACATTATTTATAATATGAGTATGTCAAATTAATGAAATATTTATAAATTATACATGTCAATGTTTTTAATTAAGCTATCCTGAACACTGACTGATTAGCCATCTATGTAGTTCTTTCTTGAATTTATGAAACAATTTCAGATTTATTATATATTTTAATCGATGGCGTGGCAGTAATGCTATCAGACCACTATGAAACTAGATGAGACGTTGATGATGATGATGATGGTATACTAGGTACTAGACGAGACCTTTCAGGTTTCATCTAGTAGTTTACCAACTTGTTTCATAGTGCAGTAATAGAAATTTCATGCTTCTGCAGAATATCAATAAATTTGAAAGATTTGATATCTGATTTTAAGCTTTATTTGATTGAAATAAAAAGTAATACTACACATAGTAAAGTGGCTATTCCTTTCAACATGGGTCAGCAAATGTTAAAATAAAAAAAACTAAAAGCTCTTGTTATTGCAGTAGGTAGTCTCATTCGTCATGATTCTCTATAATATGTTAAAATTGCAAAGACCAGTTAATACTAGTAGTATACAATTCTGGCCTTTTAAGTACTAGCTTCAAAATATGTTAAACTTAACTTCTTGTTTGTGCATATTAATTTATAATTTGTTAATTTTCCTGTAAGTTATCCATCACATATAATACTTCTGACCTTTTTCGAAATACAATATATATCGGTATACGAGTATATTACGTTCATAGAATACTGAATAGTAATATTAAAATAGAAGAATATGTAATAGACCTGAAGGAAATTATGCAATGGAAATCCTAAATGCCAGTATATTAGCAATGACATAATTTTAAACGTACTCAATATAAAGTAACTTTAGAATCATAATATAAATGTTTAAGGAAAATTAATAATAAGTGTATTTTATAGAATTGTTTCGTAAATTGTTGATATACACAATTTCCGTTGCGTAACATTTGACACGGCTATTTTTTCCTTGTCGTTGTTGGCTCGGTTTTGGCACTCGGTCAAAAACCGTTGTAGAATTATCAATGTCTTGCAACTATCCACCGTTACCTATATTTTACAGAAAAATATAATTATGATGGCTGCATTTGAAAAAATCTTTTATTCACGTCATTATCTCTAATAGACATAAAGACAACATCCTGACTGATGTATTAGTGACGTAGACCTATGTAATTGACTGTTTGACTAATTATACTTTGAAATAATATGGAAAGGACCACTGCTAATGAAAAAAGATATTTTTTGTTCGACAATATACAAAATATGAAAAATTATACTAGGATATTATCTTATGTTTTTAAAATTAACTATTTCCGTTATTGTAATCAAGGTCCTGTTTAAATGAAGAGAAAGATATATAAAGAAAAAATATAAAGATACCTCTATCTTAGTTTTTTTCATCTCAAATCCCTTTCTTATCTATCACACTATCTACTAAACTATTTTGTTACATTAGCCGCGACTTTCCCTGCTCTTCATGGAATAAAAGAACCTATGCCCCTGCTCAATCAATCAATTTGTGGTGCAGAAAGTAACAAACAACAGACAAAGAGCCATACTTGTACAGTTATAAATTAAGTATGGGATATATTATAATAATAAATTTAAAAGTATTATCATTTTATCATCTCAAGTTATTAAAAAAAACCGTTGGTAGGTTACATTACCTATTCATCCGTTGAATTTGTTGAATTTTTAATAGCTTTGAAAATTGAATAAATATAGGTACCTAGTTAAACAAAGATAAAAGTGAAACATGACTAGATATTTCATATTTCCGATGAAATGAAGACGACCTTGAATATTGAACTGCGACACAATAATGGTGTATGGAATAAATTTACATCAAATTGATGACTAGTAGAAATGTAACTTTCTAAGCGGGCGTTGGTGGAGGTTGCTCGCAATGTAACCTGCTTTCCAGTTCATAGAACCCCAAATAGTCCAATATAAATATCAATATGTTATACAAATAGACTATGTTTTTAAAAGAGAAGTAATCAATAGTAATAATGTCGTTTATATCTCTTATCTTTTACAACTCGATAAAGATAAAACTCATGATATTTACAAACATTGTGACTGCTAAAAATAATAACAGTGGCTATTTAAGGTGCATCTTCAATTTTAACATAAGAATAAAAATAACAGCTTTACATAGTTCTAGGTTCTGAACTTTCAGTATCTACCTATGTTGATGTGTTTCTAACATCAAGTCTTTCCCAATTACATAAATGATTATCTATTTAGTTTGGAGATAGTTT